ATTGATTAAGTGTATTGATTCATGCTCATTCAGGAAGATAGTGCGATAATAGAACTAAACAACTTATAAAAATGTGGACTGACTATTTAGACTATAAATTCTTCTGCATTCTAGACCTAGAAAAGGACTTTCTTCAGTTTACTCTTAAGGGCTTGATTAATTCACTAATCAGCAAAGAGCTAATACCTCCTTCTCAATCTCTCCTCTGGAAATCTTTCACCACCTCTGTTAGGCAGCATGACTGATCAGCACTGATGGATTTTTTTCCCCCATAGCCATTATCTAATTTTATTTTTTTAATTTTCTTTTCTTTCTTTTTCTTGATAGTACATCTGATAGATTCCTAAGGGAAAAGAAATACACTTCTGACTAGTCCATTACTATATTTAAAATTCTGATTAAATGAAAAGAGAGCAAGAAATTATCACCACTTGAATTCTGAAAAATTATTCTTGGCAAAAAACACCGTACTGTGACAAGAAGATCAGGTTATTAGTTACTATGACTGCAATATTAATTGATTGCTAAGCTGAAATGCCATGGGCCATGTCTTACTTATTCCCACAACTGTCAATGGAAGTTCTACTCATGGAATGAATAGAATTAAATAACCCAAGCCTCCCCCTCTCCTTCCCACGCATATCTCTTCCTCATATTGCATCTACTTAACAGGCTAATGATATATGAGCAAAATAAGTGTATGTAACCCTGAAATTCTAACTTCATGTTGAAAAAACGTACTTTCTGTGGCACATTTTGTTACAACCTCTTCTGTTTTGTTTCTTAGCATTTTTGGGTGTTCCTTAGCTTTATGGAAGAAAAATTAACGTGTGTGCCTTGGTATATATTAGTATATATATTTATTTAATTCAACTGGTATATTTGAATTCATGCCTCCCAGTTAAATGGAGTTTATCTCAGTGGAGTTTTACTTGAAGACTGATTTTGTGGAACAACTATGTAGCTTCAAAATGCCCACAGTCTCTGATCTTCAGGGTGGTTGATTTGGAGGATGAGGCTTTGGGTCTTGTAGTCACTCCATTCCAAATATTTTCTAAGCTAGAAATTCTAGCCTTGTGTTTGACAGCTATGGTCACTTGTCCACTAATCTACAGAGTGACATTTTTGAACCTATGTAGGATTTTACGTATTGCAGAATGTCACAAAATTATATTGCAATTTACAAATTACATTTTGCAATATAAACTATTAATTATATTGCAAAATCTAGAAAAAAATCCCTGTAATATTTGATAGGAAGTTCAGTGGTTTATCTGTGTGTCTTTGCTTTGATCCTGTCTTCTGCTTTCCTGATTTTATCTCCATCCTTTATTTTTTTTTTTAAAGACATAGAATCATAGACTGGGTTGGGTTGGATTGTAAGGGACCTTAAATATCATCTGCTTCCAACCTTCCTCCCATTTGCAGGGGCACCTTCCATCAGACCAGGTTGCTCAGAGCTCCATCCAGACTGACCTTGGACACATCTAGGGTGGGGTATCCACACCTTCTCTGAGTAATCTGTTCCAGTGCCACATCACCCTTACTATAAAGAATTTCTTCCTGATATCTAATCTAAATCTCTCCTCTTTTAGTTTTAAAATGTTCCCCCTTGTTCTAGCACTATCTGGCTGTAAAAAGATGCTCTCTCTTTTTTTTTTATAAGCTCCCTTTAGGTACTGAAAGGCTGCAATGAGATAACCCCAGGTTATTTTAAAGAAATGTTTCGACAATCAGTGCATAAAAGGTGAACAATTAGATGTATTTCACAGTACTTATATATCTAGACCCATGGAAATATAATGGAAAGACTGTTTTTTATAATCAAAGTAAAAATAGATGAATAAAAGCTGACAAAAGCTGGAAGCTGTGAAATTAGTTGAAAATGTATTATAAGAATTTTTTTATAATTAAGCACAGTTTGTATGAAGCAATATATAGTCTAATTTATTTTCCTTCCTACATAAAATTTCCAACAAATTGTGGAATTTGATGGAACCATCCATTTATTCAGATGTGTAGATGCATACAGGAGCCCTGTCCCTGTAATAACAGAAGAATGGCAGTCATTAGTGAAATTGTTCAAAGGCCATTTCTAGCAATGCAGATGCCACAAGTAATTTTCCCCAATATAATTCTTATTCTTCGAAAGGTCAGGAAAGTCTCGGATAGACAGTTGTGAGATGAATGACTAGCCCTTGTTTCCTCTCCTTGAGTATAGTTCCAGTTAGTCTTCTCAAAGAAACTAATTCTTTTTGAGAAGTTGTTAAGCTTGAGTGTTGAGGGAGCTGCAAGATTTTATACTTGCAACATAATTCTATATTGCAGTTGCTTTCCTACTTATTATAGATTGGAAGCAAAGACACTGAAACTCTCTTTCCCCCTTGGCTTATTGTTCAGTCATCGCTCGTCAGAGAGCAGTTGTCTCATGGAAATTACTGATTAAATAAACACATTTTACAAATACTGTTTTCTCAGATCTGCCTTCCTGAAGTAACTTCTGTTACTGTCATTTACAGACTGAACAATCCTCCTGCTTTGCAGGTGAATGGTTAAAAGGATTAGAGAAACTTCGGTGTGTCTTACTGGCCCTAATTTGTACTCCAGTGGCTCACATCTGCAGAGCTCAGGACATGGTCCCAAATTCAGATCTTCATCAGACTATAGCAAACTGATGTAGAGCTCTGCTTTGTGCTGCACAGGTCATGTGGAGTGGCCCTGCTGCATGCTGTGAGGCAGCCTAATGCCCACGGTCCTTTTATTGCTGGTGTGTTTTCATCTCATTTGAGCAATGGAATAGTTACAAAAACATGTTTTAGAGATTATAATGTTTATCCCTTTTTGTACTAGAAATACATCAAATGTCAAATATTCCTCAGAAATATAAATGTACTGATTTTTCCAGGGATATATAATAACAGTCTTAGACTAGTATGGATTTAAGTGGACTATAGCATAGTTTTTTATGTAGGGAATAAAGCCAATGTATAGCCTTTGACTTATGCCCAATCTCAGCCTTGGTTTGGTTTTTGCAGGCTAATTTGCCCCAATCCTTTTCTCTACACAAGTCCTGCTCCTCCAGTTTAAGTTACTGATTTTTGACCTGTGTCCCACTTTCAGAAAATTTCATAATTCTTGTCCATTCTGCTCTTCTTGCACTCCATGTTAAAGAACTTTCCTAAGCTGATAATTCTATATCTCTGAAAAATAGGAATGTTTCTGCTATTCTTTCAGTAAACTGAGGGAGGATGAGGGGTGCATTTTATGGAATTTTTTTTTTTTAATCTGGTTTTAAAACCTTACAAAATATGCTGCTGGCCAAATGAGCTGCTGAATCTGAGAACAGCAGATGAACACAACTACACTATGCTCACTGTTCACCAATAATTTATATGACTCTTCTCTGACATCGTGCTTCCTACTAGTCATCTTCCTATAATTCCTCAGATAGCATTAGATTTATGTGGGGATTCCTTTGAACTATACCATATTCAGGCTTTTCTTAATCATCTGTGTTGCTGCTCAATTCCTCTATGTGCCAGAGAAGACCTGGATTTGGCCAGGTTTTGAAAACCTTCAAGAGAGACAGAGAAAGTGAAAGGTGTGAAAGAGACATCAAATAAACATGAGGAGAGAGTGCACAAATAGGGAAAGGAGTTAACAGTTTTGCTAAGGGTAGAAAGAAAATGGCAGAGGTGTAACCATGAAAATGGATAGGAAAGTGATAACTTTCCTCTCCTAAATACCCATCTGCTAATATGTTAACTGAATTCCCACCAAAATTTTTTCCCAGTAATCCTGTTTACTCAGGAGAAGAGGCCCATGTTTTAACTCGATAAACAGATTGTTTGATAAGAAAATCAAACTCAACCATACTTTGTTCATCATTGCTTTATGTCCAAATCACACAAACTTGAGGAGTGTCAGAATGGCAGCACTGCAGAAATAGATCTATGTAATCAAATAATATCTGCTATTCAATTGGCACCACCTTCAGTAAAACATTTCAAAAGAGTTGCATGCTTTGCATGTGTTCAGGTCATCCTAACTCTGGGATTTCTTGCATAATTATGTGAAAGAAAACTAGATATCTGACTAAATAAGGGATTAGGTTCTTGGAAAATCTTAGCAGTCTGAGTGATACGGGCAAATAACAGCTAGAAAAAGGCTTATAGAAGTGTGGATTGGAAGTGTTGAGTCCAAAGAGAATGTTTAGTTACATGTTTCTTCTAAATAAACTGATGATTTTCAAGTCAGTTTTGTTTAAGTGAAATTTCTTTTTAATACTTTTTCTATTTTGCAAAACTTACATAAGTTTTTCTAGCTTTTTGAACTGTTTAGAACTGTGAAAGCTGACTTGCAATCCAATCTTGTATAATATCTTTATTGATTTTGTTACCATGCTTTTTATAGGAATACAGATCTCCACACAGAAGGAATTAATTCTCTTTATTAAAGGAATTAATTATCTTTAATTCTTTTATTCCACTGGAATAACATGACAAGCATGTATACAGGGTGTTCATTGACATGCATTCACCATAGCATTGCTATGTAATATCATTTACTTTACATCTAAGTATCCAAAAAGTTTTTGCACCATTTTGAATGGACCACTGGTGTTCTTAGTTATAGCAGCAATCCCTCTTTCTATAGGCGTTCCTGTCAGTCTATCTTTTAGATTCTATAGCTCACTGATTGCACTTCAATCCACCACAACTTTGACAAATTTGTAGAAAAATCTTCTTTTGCCTTCAGTTGAATGTGTTGCATTTTAATTATCTTTTACCCTCTAGAACATGAGCAATGGGAAAGAAAAGAGATCTGCTGTGCGCAGCTGGCCTTTGGCCTCACCAGCAAAGGCATTTACTGATGTACTAAGTCGATTTACACGGCCTCGGCTCCTCTGAAATCAAGTTCTGTTGGCTGTTCACCTCTCTGTACTCCTCTTTGCTTCACTCTGCCATCTTGTTGGTTAACCTGCGTTAATCTTTTTGTAGGAAGCTTTTGGACACTGAGGATGAACTCTCTGACATCCAGTCGGATTCGGTCCCGCTGGAAGTGCGGGACTGGTTAGCTTCTACATTCACGAGAGAGATGGGAATAGCGAAGAGGAGATCTGAAGAAAAGCCCAAATTCCGAAGCATTGTGCATGCTGTACAGGCTGGGATTTTTGTAGAAAGGTGAGAACTCGGTTTCCTTATCACAGCAAGTGCAGCATTTAACCACAGTGTCTGCCATTGAAGATCCTTTAAGTGGTGGGAGGAACCTGCAGCAAATCTTTGAGCCAGTTATATGCTTCACTTTCTGCAATCACTTTATTTTTCCATAAAGAAATCCAGGTAAAACCTCTAAATTTGTAAAATCTCTTGAATGGTGGAAAATTCTGGGGATAAACTCAAAGACTTTGCAACTTCTATAGTAAATTGTACCAAAGACTGCTCTAACATAAAAGAGAGATTTTTCTCAAAAGTTCATAAAAAGATTTATGTAATCTTTGTGATCAGAACTTTTAATAGCTTAGTGTTATTTCAAAAACTGTGAAAAGTTAATTACAGAAGATAAATCTCTCCAGTACTTTTATAGGAGTGTTATTTCTTGATTTTTTTTTTTTTCTTTAGGATGTACCGAAGAACTTCAAGCATGGTTGGTTTGGCTTACCCATCAGAAGTGATAGTCACATTTAAGGTGAAATAAGTTTAATCATTGTGGAATTTAAATGTATTTGTACTTATGTTTAGTGACTTTTAATTCAAATGAAGTTATTTCTCTACTGAACATACCTTAGCCATAGTTAGTACTACAGAACTGAGCACACAGAATGCAGAAATTAGTAGTTAAAAATTCAAAAATAACATATGGTTCCATTTAATTGTGATTTAATTTAGACGTTATTAGAGTAACAGGATTAAATTTGTACAGAAATTTTTATAGAAATGTGAGATGTAGTTCTATCAGCTCCCAGTGGTATGGTAATCAGTGTCGCAGACAGGAGTATTTGTTTCCTTTTTAGGAAAGAAAAAGGAGATAGTATTCGGATAGAGCTAACAAAAGAATCCAAAGCTTATGGAACAAGTACAGTATTTGCTGTGATTTTAAGGTATTACTTTAGTTCATATAAAAGACAATCTTTTATGGAGAGCAGAGTTTGTATGTCTATGTAAACAATTAAAAACTAGTATTTCTTGAGAATTAAGTACCTCAGCTTTTCCCCTAGAAGTCAAACACTGTTATTCTCAGATTTCTTTATGGTTAATGACATCAGTGTTAATGACCTATTTAAAGGATGGTATTGCTTTGTTTCATAAGGTTCTTTATACAATTTGTATGCAGAAAGTAAAATTTGAAAGATTAAGACCTTTGACTCAAAGCATACAAAGTTGCCTAGGTCATGTTACAAGTATTTTATTTATAGATGGTATAACTGTTTTCATCATTAATATTGAAATAGTCATTAATGTGTTAACTACAGTAGGAGTTTGATAGAATTGGACAATCAAAAAACCACCAAACTCTCCCATTTCCCTCAAAAAACCCTCCAAAATATCTTTTCTAGTGATCAACTGGAACCTACTCAAGCAGATGGAAATTTTACAGTTTTTGGTTTTCTGTTCTTTGTTTTTTCTTTTTCTCCTCATCTGCAGGATGTTGATAAATGGTCTTTTGACGTATTTGCCCTAAATGAAGCAAGTGGAGAGCACAGTCTGAAATTTATGATGTATGAGCTGTTTACCCGATATGACCTTTTGAACCGTTTCAAGGTCAGAAACTAGCCACAAATAAAAATATGTATGCAAAAATATATACGTCAAATTTAAAATGCAAGAACAACAGCATAAGTTGGACTTTTTTTTTATTTTATTGTACAATGCAGTACAAAGGTATATGGCAAATCAAATATTGTAATATTCCAATTGTTCTACCAAATGAAACTTCTGCAACCCAAAAAATGGAAAGCCATGTAGACCCATGTCGTACCATTTGTGAGCATTACGTAAATAGATTATGTATACAACCTGTTTACTCAGCAGGACTGAATCAGTGACCCAGCTTCCTGGAACAAAGATTACTAATAAGGCAGGAAACTGTAGCTAGTCTTAAGCACTTTTTTTCACAGTCTAAATCACAGTATGTTGCTCATTCCTGTGGAGGGGCTTCAGATGAACCTTCCTCTCCTAACCAGCTTGGAAGGATATATAAAGAGAAAGCTGGTTTTCCATGGTGTTTGGAGGGTTTTGCAATACAATATGGAGTACTTATAGCCAACTTTGAAAGGCTGAGATAAAAATATGGATCAAAATGCCAAATTTATCATTACAATAGTACCAAATGAAAGTTTTCTTGTACTTTCAAAATCTCTCCACTGAAAAACTCCATGTTCCTTTTGAAGAGGCTGCCTCATCCTGAAGTTGTTCTGAATATTTTAATCGTGATTAGTAGCCCAGCTTTTCCCAACAAGCTTTGTGTGCTTGAAGTCAGAACCACACCAGGGCTACCATTAACAACACGGACATGAAATATGCAATGTTACTGGCAGAGTAGGTTTAAGCCCATTCTCAGTTCCATTGTAGACTTTGCAGGGCTTTTAAATAAAGAAAAAATTCTTAAGGAAAATGTAATTTCATTGTATGGGTGACATCTTTTAACCCTGGCCCACCAAATAAGCTCACTTCTCTCTCCAGCAAGATGAGGAGAAGAGAATTGGAGGCGTAAAAGTGAGAAAATTTGTGGGTTGTGATAAGTACAGTGTAATAATAATAATGTGAGAATAATGTTCTTAATAATAATACAGAAAATTAATGAAAATAACAGAGAGAGATATAAAGCCCAAGAAGAAATTATGCAAATTAAAACAATTGCTCACCACATGTTGGCTCACTGATGTCCAGCCAACAGGTAACAGCACCCCAGGCGGCTTCCCCCCAGCTTTGTGCTGCTGACTCTGACACCATATCCTTGGTGTATCCTGTGGGTCAGCTGGGCCAGCTGTCCTGGCTGTGTCCTTTTCCAGCTTCTTGTGCACCCTCAGCCTACCCAGTGGTGGGGTGGGTTGAGGAGCAGAGAGAGCCTTGACTCTGAGTAACCTCTGCTTAGCTGTAACTAAAACATCCCTGTGTTATCAAGACTCTTTCCAATACTAATCCAAAACATACCCCCATAGTATCTATTATGAAGAAAATTAACTCTATCCCTGCCAAAATCAGCACAATGGGAGAAATAAGTGGGACTAGAAAGTACCTGTACTTCACACATTGCCTGGAGGAAGGAAAGTCATACTATGAGATTAAAGGAAACCTTGTCTCAAGCAAGTAAAATTGGTGAAGAAAAGGAGATAATCCTATTGTTAGACTCCTATCTGTCATGCCTGTATTATATGAGCAATCTGTCCTGATACAGTCAGACAGGCATGTCTTGAAAACCATTTGGTTGATAGCTCTGCAGTCTCTTGTGCATGGTGTATGTAGAGGGATATAACATCTACAAAAATAGGGTGGAGACTCACTGATGTATGTATGATATTAGACCTTTACATTTTAATTTTTTCTTTTGTTGTTTGCTAACTATGTTCTATAGTATATTATTTGTGGTTTATTTGTTGTATGATTGATTTTGCAGCTGTTGCAGGAAAAAACCCAGTTATTTTAATGTTTTCTTCTCCCTAGATCCCTGTTCCCAATCTTATTTCATTTGCTGAAGCTCTTGAAGTTGGCTACAGTAAATACAAAAATCCATATCACAATTTGATCCATGCAGCTGATGTTACTCAAACTGTGCATTACATAATGATTCACACTGGTATCATGGTAAGGAATATGGTGAAGTTCAATTTACTTTTTTTCTCAGACTCTGCTGTTTCGAATAAATGTGTTCATATGACTTTTCTTAAGGAAAAAGCTCCCTTGAAAATTGTGCAGACAGAGATTCCAAACTACCATTCAGGCTGTGAACTTTGTCATTTTAACAGTTCTTCTGAGCTGAAGCTCTCCCTATGCGGAGGGAAAAAGGAGGAAAAAAATCCTTCTTACATCTTGTTGCTTTTCATCGTCTGGACTTGGGTATTATATATCATATTAGAATAGATAGATTTGCAGGAGTGGGCAGGTGAGAAATTTTTACTTTCACATCACAGCATGGGAGGTGTGATCAGGCAAGGAAGCTTTAGTATCTACTGAGGTCCTGGCTGTTGAAAGATGTATGGAATCAATGCAGGCTTAGAATTATAGTGGCATAAAATGTTTTGGGTTGGAAGGGACCTTAAAGACAATCTAGTTCCAACTACCCTGCCATGGGCAGGGACAACTAGACCAAACTGCTCAGAGCCCCATCCAGCCCAGTTTTGGACTCTGCAACTACTTTTTCTTTTAGTTTATTACCTTTTTTAGGACTGCTCTTGGATATTGTATGTGCCTATAGTAGGCAGGATTTTGCATTTGTCTTGCAATGTCACTGTATTTTTTATTGTTCGTTTGGGAACTGAAATGAGTCTGTGCAGAAATTTTTATTTCTAAACACTTGTATTTAATACCAGCAGTGGTTGTCTCCTCCCTCTCAGCTTGCTAGGCAAAAGTAAATACTGTCTGAAAGAGAAGGAACATTGCTGTCAATGGCCTTTTGATGATTTGTCTTCACTGTGAATACACTTGTTTAAAAAAAAAAAAAAAAAAGAAGAAAAAGAAGACAAACCCAAACCAACAAACAAAACTACCTGGAAGAGATAGCATCTGATTTCTGTTTGCAGGGCTATGAAACAATTCCGTAAGACTTTGGAAAGGAAAAATTTAGAGCTGACTTTAGATGTTTGTGTTCATATATACACAAAATAAATGTCAGTAAGTCGCTTATGTTAAGCCTTTTCTAGCTTAAAACTTTTTGCCTTTGGCTTCAGTGGGGGCAAGGAAAAGTCCCTAGGCATTGCAGGTTTTTATTCTGCTGTTTAAAGGAAGTAATTTGCTTCTAAGTATCAAGTTTTTAAAGCTACATTTTAACTCCAATTCTACTTCCTGAATGAAGCCCGGAGTATTCACCAGCCAAGATTCCTTTTCACATTGAGAGGTTTTCTTGAAAAATGATTGCCATATCAGACTGAAGCAGTGCCTAGACAGCTCTTGCCAAGATGAGTCAAACCCAAAGTTGTTGTATATAATACTGACCTATCAAAATAATATTTTAATAAAAGAAAAATATTGAAGAGATTAGATTATGGTTCCTAATTTACCCTTGTCTTCTACTGTAAAGTAAACTGCAAAAGTTAAGTTTTGTGAGACATGTCTTTGTTGCAGGTATACACCTGAATCAGCAATTTAGCAGGGAGGAAAATCCCTGTGTTTTATTAAATATTATAAACATCCCTTTGGCCTGTTGTATCTCTGCCCTTCAAAAAGCATGATAGCATTAGGTTTTCTTTGTGATGGCAGGACAAGGTTCCAACTTCCAGAGCTGTCCTAGCCAATTTGGGATGTTTTGCCATTCATTAAACAACTCTGCAACACACTCTGTGTATCTCTGAACACTGAATGAAGGAATCTGTTTCATATTTGAATATCTGCTATTTCACTGAGTGCACACAAGTGAGAAAGGCATCACCAACACTAATTTTACAATATTAGCATCTTAACCTTCTAACTGCACTTTAATGGGATTTGGACAATTATTTTCAAAAACGTTTAGACTTTGCTGCTGCAAAACCTCATTAATGTTGCAAAACTACTACAAAATATTTCTATAAAATTAGTCCACCTTTATTTCACATTTTAATTGCCAAATTATGGTACTGAATTACAATATTTCACTGCCCATGGCAGGGGGGATTGGAACTGTATGATCTTTAAGGTCTTTTCCAACTCTAACTATTCTATGACTCTATGATTCTATGATGGAACTAGGACAACACTTAGTCAAGAGTGCCTTCAAACAGATGTAGCTTGGCAGGCAGAAGGAACATTTATGGAAATTGGTGTTTGAAAGAAGGCCTAGTGATTCTGCAACTTGCAAAGTATTTCTGTGCCAAATATTCCTTGCAATTTGAGAATGCATCAGTATCATGAGAATGTTCTATTTAACTTGTGGATTTTGTTTTGATTTGGTTTGTGTTTGTTTTTTTCTATTTTCTATTTTGCCCAGTTAACTCTCCAGGACCCCACTCACTAACAATTTGAAATTTGCTTCTCAAGCTGATAATTTTCAGAGCATGTCCATTGTGCACCTCTTTTAACTCTGCTGTATTTCTGGCAAATACCTGGATTGGAGTCAATTTGATGCAATTCTATATCAAATTCCAGTGGATTTTTGGCTTTTTTTTTTTTTTTTTTTTTTTTGCAGGTTGGTGTGCAATTTGAAGTTATTTGGCTCATATTGACTCTAAAACTTTCAGATTTGCTATCTTCTTTATTCATTTCTGTAAGAAATACTGAAGCAAATGTTTAAAAAACTGGGTAGAAAATCCATTTCACAATTCATGTTCAGGTGTTTTGTATCTTTTATAGGCAACTGGAAAACAACCATACTTCAGCAATTGCAAAAAAATTTTGCTGGTCAAAGTTTATGCTTCTCCACAAGCCCTTAGAAAGATTCCAGTGTAGAATATCACATATTCAGAGTCACAGTTAAAGAAATAAAATTATCATTATACTTTTCAAAAGTTACTGTCTATCTTAAGAAACAAGATCCAACCACCTCAGATCGAAGTGTTAGAAAGTAAGGTATCACAGATGGCACACAATTTATTAACCTTCCCAGGAGATTAAATCCCAGATGATATGACTGAAATGTATAACTCAAGCTTACATTTATGAAGTTTTAATCTTTATAAAGATTTAAGAATCCAAGTCCCAGGGAATACATCTCGTAAAGAACTTTTGAGTCATCGATCATCTTCCCACCATCCCTTTTCTCCTCCCACGTACCTGTATTGCTCAAAGTAAAGGAAAAAATGTCTTTACTGTCAATATGTGAATTTTGAGACTCCATTTCTTACTCAGAATTTCTTACTCCTTTTAATCCATTGTTGTAAAAAACTGGTTTCAAACAGAGCTCCTGGTAAGTTGAAATGTATCTATTTACTTATAAGCAATTTATAACACTGGAAAACAGCTCTCAATAGAAGAGATGTTTTACCTTAGGCATTACACCTTCAAGGAATAGTTTCTTTCAGGAGGGAACAGGTTTCAGCTCTTTACAGTCTTGCAGACCTCTAGATACCTGTCTAGATATCTTTCCCTCTCTATTTGAGAAAACACTTGTTAACTGTCTCTCTAAGAGTTTTTTCCTGCTTCCTTAGAAATCCTTTAGCTAAACCCCTCTGATTCTCTGATTTGAATACTGATCTCGTTTTTGACTGTACAGCTTGTGTCTCTAGTGTATTTGCTCTCATATAGTACTATATGAAGTCTCTGTGTTGCCCATAGATATTGTTTGTAGGGAATGTTCTTCTACTTATAAATGCATTGTGTAGCAACTATTTTGTTTGCTAGAAAAGCTGACCTTTAAAAAGACATCTCAAAGAAAAAGTTTATGTTTAGTTACTAATAATTTCTGTGTTTCTATTCTATTTGGTATGTTGAAAATATTGTGAAAGCCAGGACTGGTCATGGCCTGGTTTCTTCTGACACACAATACTATGAAGGTCATCGTTTCCATTTTTAGAACTGCTTACAGTACATTCTCTTTACTGTGTTGTGACCTTTTAAAATCTGTACTGTTTCACCAACAGGCTGTGGTTGTTCTTCAGCAGTCTTATTTTGTTGCTGAATGATCTATTTTATTATTCTCAAATTACTTATGAATCTTGACTGTTCCCTTTCTTCTTCTTTGAAAGAAGTACTACTATTGGCAACTTTTATTACATCTGGCAGCTTATACATCTCATATCCATTCATACACATGTATGTGCATATTTGGGTGCATACAATTGAGATCATCCTTTGATCCTTTGGAACAGAAGCTTACTTTTATGCCAAAGCCATCTGAAATATGTGTGGAAATGCTTGACTGGCATTTGACTTAATCAGTCCTGTGACTGTGGGGGTTAATAATCATATGATTTTTCTGCCCCCATCTTTAGATGGAATAAATTTTCTCCTCGAGGATGATTTATCATTCAAGAAATAGAAATCGAAAGAAGATAATAGAGGTTATTTTACAAACTGAATGATACAGAGCAGCCTCAGTTAGCAAGAGTTATAAAAGGAAACAAAACTCCAGGGTCTGAATTATTTTGTATACATGATCTGTATTACCTTTTGTTCTGTACAACTGCATACTAGCCTTATTCACCTTTTTTTTTTTTTTTTAAATCACTACAAACTATGATAAAATTTAGAACAGAAAAGTCTCCCATGGGCCTAATTTTAGTGCTATGTACACTGGAAAAATGTAGTTAATACTGATGTTGTACGTTGAATTTTTATGAACTGTGTATATAGTTTACTAAAAGATAAATTATAACCTTAACTTCATATCAAGCTTTTAGATTAATATGGCATAAATTGGCAAGTTTCATGTGTGGGATAACAGATTAGATACTCATTGCAGTTGCAAAATATACCATGTAACTCTCTTGACAACTTCTTATATTTTCAGCTGCCAATATTTACTTTGTTAGTGACCAAATGGATGTTAACTTGGTCTCAGACAAATCATAACAAGTACAAGGACTTATTTTACTGTATGATACTGAAGTGTTATGGATATATAGTTGCCTAGAATAAGACAAGTGGAAAGTTTATTTAAGTTAAAGGTAGTGCAAAACATTTTCAGTACTGTACTGTTTAATCAGAGTTAGGCTATTACAGCAAATGTGACTAGGATTTGTTTTTCACTTGCCAGCACTGGCTCACAGAACTGGAAATTTTAGCAATGATCTTTGCAGCTGCCGTCCATGATTATGAACATACTGGGACCACAAACAATTTTCATATTCAGACAAGGTAAGCAAAGTGGTCTCCTTAGAGTTATATCTGGAGTTCACTGTTCATTGGTCTGAACTGTTTCATATCTCTTACTAATAAAGCCAGGAAGTAGCCAGGTCATGCCTGATTTTACAAATTGCTTCCTTGACCTCTGTACAGTTAATGGGACCATTCACATGGACAGGGAGTGTGGAAAAGTAAGGAGGTAACTCCAAAACATTTGAAATCATTCTATTTTGGAGCACATATGTCAAGACAAATTTCAAAAATGTTCAGAACGTGGACTTGAAAACCCCTCAACCCTCTATTTATTCACTTTAATTCTGATACTTCTGAGTCAAAAGCTTCTTCTACTGTGTCCCCATAAAAATACCACCTTGCTTCCAGCGATGTGCCTGGGCATACTTCAGGGGCTACATTTTGTTTCATTTTGTGTATTAAACTTACAAAGTCCTGGTGCAGAGGGAGAAAGCGTTAGAAATACCTACCATGAGCCCTCTCCTAGTATATTTTGACAGCATCTGCAGTAGGCATGAAGAAGAAATCTGAAGAGGAATCCAGTTTAAAAGTGAGGCTAGCTGTATTTTCATGCAGATGCAGCATGTCATCCTAGCTGCTGGTCCTGTACAACAGCATATATCTCTTCCCCTTAAAATGTTTTCAGCTTACTGAGGGAAAATCCCAGACCAATACATTACTAAGTGATAAATGGTACACCTGATACTTAACCTAATTCAAAACATCTTATTGTTCTCTTACACTAGGCTATACTTTGATTTTAGTATCCTCAGTTGAGGAGTTTGCTTTAGCTGGTCTTGAAAAAAAAAATTCAGCATCACACTGGTATATTCTAACAAAACAGCTCTGTGCTAGAAGTATGAATACCTTGAATGGAAGCATCCTCACACTCACCTATGTGGATAAAGTGCCCAAAGGTAACATTTAAATTAAATTTGTAACGTGCTCCAAGATGTTCCCTTCAATAATGAATGAATTCTAGATTTGCAGCTGAAATAAGAACACAATTCTTTTCTCCCTCAGCACAGTCTGGCTAAAAATAAACCAGTTTGTAGTTCCAAGTTTATATTACTCTTCTATTTTTGTCCTTAATATTTTGCTCTGAAGTATTGCAAGAGTGGAAAATTAATTAAGCTGTTAGCTTTTGAATTTTACTTGCAAATAGGTATTTTTTTTGTAATGTAGCTTATTCTTCTCTCTTAGGGTAAGTTGGCCCTGATGTGGTATCCCAGGGCTGTGATTCCAAGCTTCTTTTGCCTGAGAAAAGCTGATGGAATTGCTGCCATAATCATAGCAAATCTTAGCACCACTTAAACCTATCCATAAGTAGCTATGTCTATCAAAGTGTGCTTCTTAAACATATGTGATTGGCATAACACAGATTTTCCCACAATTTCAGTTGGATTATGGAAGTAAACATATCGAGTTTTAGCAGGTTATGGTTTGTTCCCTCTAAATAAAGTTTCCAATCCTATTTTAATTCTTCAGATACCTTGGCACCATACATGACAATATATATTTCTCAACAGAACAAGAGGTTCAATATAACATATTTGTGTCAGAGGGAGCTGCACTGATAAATCATCACACCTTTCTTCTAGTACAGATTTTTCAGTTGGCCAAGTTAAAATATTCAGTAATGGTTTTATCAGAATGGAAGTGTAGCAAAGAGGAGAGACCTGAGGTTGCTTAGTAGGTCAGGTAAGGTCTTGGGGAAATAAATTTTCTAAGAATTAATAATGTTTGAGGCTAAGTGTGATAAATCCACACCACATCAAAATTTGTGAAAATTTTAATGTAATTCTGGAATTGTACATTAGTCTTTAATTAAGAGGGAAAGGTTACTGTCAAGTGTGCTATCATTATGGTATGGATCTTTCTTTAGGAAGCACTTGAATGCAATCAAATTTCATGTCAAGGTTTAGCTGTGTTTCTGACAAAAGATGGTATCTGTTTAAAACCTATGAAATTGAAACTTGTTAATATTTTATTATTTACAGCTCCTTCTGATAATGAACAGCAAGGGCCAAAGCACATCTCTCAGAACAGGGGTAGTAGCTTCTTAACACCCATGCTGTTCATGAAGACGCTGCATTTTAAATGGTTGTATTGCTAAAGTGTACTCTTGGGTAGCCTAACTGGAGCATTTCTGTTATTCTGTGGTCCTATCTACAGTCAAGAAGCTCAAAGATCTCACAAATTTTCATCACACTTAGATCATATAAATAAAACGTCACACATTTGAATAGTATGACTTTTCCACAAACAGCATATACAATGGTATAATCACAATTTTTTATGCATCTAAGATGTAAAATGTATCAGTATTCTATACAGCAGGAAAACATACACGTAGTTTGATATATATGTGTGTATATATATATAGTCAATAGTTTTCATAGAGAATACATAGGTCTACCTTTTGCAGTGCCATCATTAGGACACTGTTACAAAATCTTCCTCTTTTTTTCAACACTAGGTCAGATGTCGCTATATTGTACAATGATCGTTCTGTTCTTGAAAATCATCATGTAAGTGCTGCTTATAGACTCATGCAAGAAGAAGAGATGAACATCCTGGGTAATTTAAACAAAGATGACTGGAGGTAAGACTTGCTGTGACATTCAAACGTAATTCCAGTATTTATAAATAATAAAAACCACCAGGCCTTCCCTCTGGAGCCTATTTTAAGAGTTCAAATTACAGGAAGTGACATTGTCACTGAAAAGAGTAATGGATATTTAGAGCCTATGGAAGGCTCTGCAGCTCTCAGCAGTGCTGAGAAATATTGTTTGGGAGACTCCAAACAAAATCAATTTTTCCAAGTGAGACTGTGCATTTATGAGGCACAGTGCTGGACTGTGTGGACAGTGTCTCAGGTAAGATAGATCTTCAGGAAAACCACAATGCTGCTCTTTAGCTGGGTTCCCTTTGCCTAACAGTGGGTTAAAACCATGGTGCAGAGTCATGCTACTGCCAGCCTGAGCACCACTGCCCCTGGGATGTCACCGTAGTCACGTCTTGCTTAAGCATTAAAAAATTAATTACGTGGGGAGTCCAGAAATAATAATGTAAAGGCCCAGAAGTGCTACAGAAAGCTTTTCTTTTTCTTCTTAATTTTAGTGTAATTCCTGAAGAAAATTTGGCCAGTTGAAAGAGTAAGGATCATAACTGATATATCACAAATATGAAGACCTGTAGAGCTAAAATGAACAAGTGTTAGACTAAGTTTTCCCATTATTAAAAAGGACATGTTTTCTTTGTATATCTTTGTTTGATACATTTAAAATATGAGTCTTCTGTGTGTTTCTATAAACACAGCTATTATTCAGGGATCCCAAAAAACCCCTTTCAAACAGGTGGACTGTGAAGCCAGAGAGATGTTCTGTCTCCAGGAAAGTCTCCCAGTGCAAATGATGCTACCATGAATAACAAAGCTATACTCTGCTTAATTTATATTTTCATGAAACTGTACATCTATGAAGGGATGTCAGAACAGTTTTTTCATATTGTGTCCTACCAGAGAATGCTTTAGGTAGAAAGGAGCAGGTCTTCTTCAGATGGATTTCAGTTCAGGATTGTGCCAAGGATGGCTTGGAAACACTTATGTGCATTCCCAGTCCTGACTTCTTAGTCACTGGAGGCCACCATAAACTAGAATAGTTTCGGAAATCCCTGAAGCAGCATACACTGACTCCAGCTGAAATCTGTCTGCCAGCTAGTAGAGTTTATCTCAGTCATTCCCATTTGTTATGTCACTGAGAAAAAGAGTAATGGGTTGGAAACAAAATATTTGCCAGTGGAAAGAGGAGCCTGCATTTTCCAGGTGTGTGATGTTTATACATACTGCTCAGGTGGACTGCAGACAGAATAAAGGGGAAAGTGTGATAGGCTCTTCTCACTTTCTGAAGCACACTCTTCTCTGCACAGTTTGTTTGGTCTGGGTTTCCCATAGTTCTTTTCCCAGTTTGGTAATGGACCATTCTGTCTAACTTCTGTTGCATTTCATTTCTCTGTAGTTTTTGAACCTGTGAAAAACTACCACCTTCTTTTGGATGTTGCTTGATCCCACACTGACTCTGTTTACACTTGCTTTTCTCCCACAGTCTTTTCCCACTGTAACCCAATCGTGTTTTTCTAGAGGATCTTATTTTAATTTTGCCAATTGGCTACACAGATCCTATTATATGCAGAAAGTTTGAAGTTGGTGAGATCTGGCAACCAGAGAAACTAGAATTTACCTTCTCTTTTTGGCCTATTCAGTATAACTTAGAAGAGATCTATGAATTGACTAATAAGGTCAAACAACTAAACCAGAACACTCAGTTCTGTGTTTTGTCACTTAGCTAAGCAATTACAGTCTGTACTTTCAAGCTAACAGTAAATGCCAAAGTGCCAATCTGTGCCAACCTGCACAACCTGTTCATGTCTGAGACTTCAATTTAGAGGGGCAGTCATGGAAATTACAGTTTCCTGGTATTCATTTCTAATATCCAGAAATTCCTGTAACCCTTTCATGAGGTACAGTTGTTCATTAGTGCAGTGATGGATCTGTTAGCCACTTAACAGAAGCTCTTCAATTTTGTAATTACTACTATAGTGAGCTTTTTCAATCTATACTGAAGTTCATGCTGTTAAACTAACAGTTTTGAAGTTTGCACTGCATCAAATTGTCAGTAAATTGAAATGATAATTTGTTCAACTTTTTAATATACTTCCTGGCACTTATTAATTTCTTTTCTACTGTCATATCTATTTTCTTAGGTGCAGCGATTTAATTTTTAAAAAATGTAACACTGCTGACTATTTAAACTGAGGTTCTGCTAATTATTTCAGCAAGATGAAGCAAAATGACAGAGAATGAGTTTATAGTATTACATTTCTTTCTGCATGTTAGTGTTAAGAAGATAAATGTACTAATAAACTGACAACTTCAATTAAGTTTAAAGCATAGGGTTTGGGTCTAAGCAGGGAAAACTGCCAGCATTCTGAGGATGATGTCCTTCGTGGATAATGCATGTGACATTCATAGCAATTTCTCAGTCTTTTCTCAACTCTGAAAATATGCTCTAGTCATTGATATTGTCTTGTTTCTCTCACTTTGTGCCCTTAACTAACTAAAGAGGGATACTTGTTTGTCCCCCTTTCTCCTTTGATTTACCAGGCTTCTAGTGTCTTAAAACCACATGTGTTAGGCCAACAGTTATAGGTGGTGAGGTAGTATTAATGTTTGAAACCATTCCAGTCAGAAGGCATACAATGACAAAAAAAAAGACTAATAAAACAATATAAATTATATGTAATGCCCAAACAATAGCATTTCTTTCACAAATTCCCTTGGGATTCTTCTGTGTAAGGATTCCTATAACTTGAAGATGAACCTTATGTCTTCAGTTCCCAACTTGCTTTTGCTCATCTTAGTCTGTTCCTGCATTTTTTTAAATAGTTTCCAACTGACTAAATGTCTTTGTCATGGACATTTGTCCAGGTAAAGCTGGTTTCTGTTTGCAGGTTAATTACTTTTCCAAGAAATTCATGTGCCATTCCTAGTCTCTTTATTACAGCATTGTTCATGTAATTTTTTCACATAGTCTTATATCTATGTCTTTTTACAGAATCCTATCCATAGGACTTATGGCTAGAGGAGGGTTAAGAAAGTGTGACAGCACAGGACATGGCAGTTTGCTTAAGTAAAGTGGAGATGGTATACTCAAAATCAGTAACCTTTGGATTTGGGGCCCGAAAAACCTTTCTGTGTTATTTGTGAATACTGTTACCACTTCCCTTCATAGTAAGACAACATCTGCATATCTTTTTACCAAGATAGCCAGAGCAATGCTGACTGTATTACCCTGATGTTTGTAGCTCTGGACTGCCTGATGATCGTGGCCAGAGAATTCTGTCAGAGTTACCTGTAAGACCAGCTGAGGTCTCCTTAAATATGGAAGTTGAGACAGTCTTTTTTCCCTGGGAAGCAATTTGGTAATGGTATCAGTCCAAGAGTAATCTTCTGTGCAGCACCAGTAGACAAAGCATTTTTAGTTCTAGTAGAGCTTTATTTAACATTTCCCAGTCAGATCTCAATTTTCTATCTCTCTAATTATGATGGATGTGGATGCAGGCAGGAAGCAACTGCAGGTGGAGAGTCTCTCCTTTGCTATTAAGCAGCTTTCTAGCGGCCTAAAATCTTCACAAGTGTGTGAGAGGGCAGTGCTACATTGTTTGATCCTTGTTCAGGTGATGGAGGTAAGAATCAGGGGGTTTCTGCTGCCATGACAATATGAGTAAACTGAAAACAGTGTTTTACTTCTCTGTGTGTCTTGTGTAGTAGGAGTGAGGTATTTTGTGAATAGAGGTGAACTTATTTCTGATCACTCTTAAAAGTTCAGACATTTAAAGTTCCTAGGCAAATCTCCCATAAAAAGGGGAAGTGGTAATTATTTCAGTCTTATAAACAACAGGGTTTAATAATGCAGAGCCCTCAGTTTTCATGTAGTGTTAACTAGTTTTTATTTGTTTGGTTTGGGTTTTTTGTTTGGTTTTTTTTGGTTGGTTTGGTTTTATGAGGGTCTTTTGTTATGTGTTTTAGTTGGGTTTTTTTAAATGGGTTTGACTGTGTTTGAAAGGTACAGTTTCAAAGCAACATGAAGGAGGAGCAGTTGGGATGCAAAATAATAAGTGTCTTATTATGAGGTCAGATAAGGTAGGGCATTTTCTAAACACAAGTTACTGTGGCTGCATATTGTCGAATAGAAGCGAGAGGATTGAGTCTTTATCCAGTTACACCAAAGCAAATCAGAGATAAATACATAATGAGGAATATCTGCTTAAATATGTAATTAATTTGGTTTGAAAGCAGTCTGGATAGTCTTTGTAACAAAGTACTCTAACAGCCCTAAAGAAAACTGCAAATTACCTCTTTAAAACATAGTCCTTTGAAAAAAACTGCATGTTAGGTATATCAAAGATATGAATACAATATAAAAGATCAGTGAAAATTACTAAATTGTTGTAGTTGACACTTGGACATCCTTAAGATTGGAGGTGTATTCATGAAGATATATGCTACATAATCAAAGTTTTAATGTGTTGAGTTATTCCCCACATATGTACAAGCAGCACTTGCACATAAGGCCATCTAGGTCATAAAAAAGTATGCAAATAAAGACCCAGTGTAGTCCTACATGGTCTATGCACGATCCTTCTACATCAAGGAAACTGAATTTTCAAAGTCAGTAATTATTATTGACAAAATTAATTTCATTTAATTTCATATGCAATCAGAATTAATACACTTTCTTACATTATTCATGATTCATGTTTACTGGTTTCACAGTCATTTAATAGAAAGCTGATGGACAAGAAAATTCTGACCATAATACCAAGACAGAGAAGCTGAACTTCTTGGAACCATTAAATAGACATTACAGCATTTTTAAGAGGAAAGGTAGTTTGTCATAGTGATCTTACAGTGATATCATGTTGATAGTGTTTCAGATAGAACACCTTTTGATCTTCTGAGTGTTTCCACAGCTTTATTCCTAGGTTTAGTGTTATGCACACTCTTCCTTAATATGAGGGCAGTAATAAAATACACAAATATATCATCTTGTGTGGTGGTAAGCCCAGAGACCAACTGGTTTTTTAGACTACTGCTGGACAAAATAAGGAAAGACTCATAATGGGTGAGAGAACTGCATGTAATATTACTTTATGCACTAGAAAATAGGATTTACAAAACAGTGTGACTGAAATAATGATTGCAGAGCACATTTTCTGAGGTACATTGCTTTCACAGAATCCCTTTAGGATACAATGTTCAAGTTGTTAATAATTTATTTAAATGCTTTTAAAACGTAATAAAACCCATGATGTTGTTTTGAAAGTTATAAATTAACAAGTGCTGCTTAAACAAATGTACCATACATAGAATAAATGAATTTTAATCAGTCATTTTGCTTTTAATTATTCTTAGGGAGTTGCGTAGCTTGGTCATTGAGATGGTCTTGTCTACAGATATGTCGGGTCACTTTCAACAAATTAAAACGATGCGACACACTCTACAGCAGACACAGGGGTAGGTTATCTTCCATTCTCTTCATTATCTGTAGTCTTTCAATGAGCTCATATACAAGAAAAGAATTTAAATAGTTGCTTTTGTTTTGAGATAATTGGAGCATGTCCTTGAATTGACAGGGTAGACAAAGCCAAAGCCATGTCTTTGATTCTACATGCAGCAGACATAAGCCATCCAGCAAAATCCTGGGAACTGCACTACCGGTGGACCATGGCCCTGATGGAAGAATTTTTTCGACAGGTTCCATTTTTAAAATCCTTTAATAAATCTAGTTCAAGAACCAATGGTTATGCAACTAAATATTTCCATAAGTCTACCAGCAAATTGCTGTTGGTTGTGATTGACAAGCATAGTCAGTAGCATATATTCTTTACTTTTCATACATACCAATGACATTAATTCAACTTTTGTGTGTGTGAATAAGATGAAATGCTTATAGCTTTATATCTATTTCAGCTGATACCAGAATTCTGAGTGTTGTAGTGGGTTTTTTTTCTTCCAAGTATAATATAACTTGTCAAGCTGTTTTCATTCTGTAACAGATTTATATATTCTTTGTGTTAAAAAAAAGCACCAGCAGGGTAGAATAAGGGAAAATAGGAAGAATTCATGTTCAGAGAAGGCAAAAAGTTGTCTCCATTTCACATTTCTTTTCCTTGCTAGTATCTTTTTTCTTGCTAGTGTTTGACGTGCATATGCCACATAGATGTGAAGGTGTTGCTTTCATAACAGCCTGGTCCAAAGCCAGAGGTTAAACAGAAACCATCCTGTTAACACTGTGGCCATATATCCTAAAACAGAAATGGAAACACACCTTTGTGAAAGTCTTCTCATTTCTGTGAGGCACTGGATTCAGAGAGAAAACCCAGCATATGTTGGTGTCATGCTGTCATTTTTTAACTCACTTCAGCAGGTAAAAACAAACATATCTCCCTGTAATCAATATTTGTGACCATGCACATTGTCAACATAACAGTTACTGAAATATAATTGATAATCAAAATCCAATTTAGGTATTACACAGTTTCTGTAGTTATGCACAAGTTTTTAAAGTGGTTAATACGGATAAGGGACCAACGTGTGTCTTGCTCAGCTTGATTGTCTTAATTGTGCTATACAATGACATTTTCAAATCAGATGGATCACAATGGAAAAAAGAATTAGAGAATAAAAAAGACAATATTCTAAACCGTGAGTTTATTGGGCCCATCTGCTCTGTAAGGTTCTTGCTCAGTTCATGGAGATTCTTCACACAAGTTCTCAGTAGGGAGGATCAGGGCATCCTTGACTCCGGGCTTTGCTCTGGGGAGGCAGAATGGAGAGCTGGTGCCTTAATCTAAATAATAAATAATTTCCACAAAAGTGAGTTTTGTGGAAATAATGAGTAGAGTCATGAGTTTTTGTTTGCTTTTGTAAATGGAAATTATGAGGATTTTGAACTTGAGAGCAAAAAGGAGGAGCAGATTGCCCCAGAAGAAAAGGTCATAAAATGACCAACTGTAAAAACATTTTATACAAGGAGGGACAGACTAGACAGAGCCCATGGGACAGTGAGGCAATGTGTGCAGTCAAGTGGAGGTAGCACCAGTAGTAAACTACCACACTGGTCATTGAACACATAGGATCAGTTAATATTTTATCCATTCATTGAAAGTAACTGGATCCCAAATAAGCTGCTAAAAGACTTGAGAAGGCATTTAACAACAACCATATCAGCAGTAAAATATGAAAGTCTTCTAGTCTGCAGAGGAGCACACAAGAAACTGAATCACTCTTTATATGTTCTGCTAAGAACAGTGTGTGAGGAGAAGTTCCAACACTTTTAAAGTGTCATGAAGCAACTGTACATATATAAATGCACTGAGCAGTGCAGAAGCAGTAGGTCCGCATTGTTAGATGCACTGGCTTATTGTGCATCCTCTGGTCTGTTGATCTGAGCCTCTGTGATAGAAACCTGTGGGATTTCCAAACGTGTGTCAGCCAAGGTGAAATAGTCCAAATGTATATAAACCCCACTGATTCCTTCTCTTCTCTTCTTTAAGGCTAGTATTCAACTACTTCTACTGCCTCACAGGAGAAACAGCAGAGTCTGAAACAGCGGATACAAATCCAGTGCTTTCATAGGCAGCTTTCAAAGCAGTGACCATCAGCCAAAAATGAACATTCACCTTGACAAAAACTTTGTTAAATACAGCTAATGGTTAAAATATGTACCAGTGTTAACTTCAGGAAAAAAAGCCTAACCACACTCTAAGTTTAAGCAACAACTACAGAAAGTGTGTTCTAATGCCAAGGAAAATCTGAGTTCCTGTTTAAAATAGAAATACAGCCACCCATTTCAGACACTTAAAAGTAAAGAAATATATAGTTCAAGTCAAAAAATATCACAGCTCCTACAGCATTCTGCTCTCAGTCTAATTAGATCCAAAAACACTAAAAGAGAGTTAAAAGAGTTCAGCACCTGGACAATAATTTTTTTTACTGTTTTAATCTGTATCTTGATTTTAAATCTCATTAAATTTTAACAATCAATTTAAATGTCAGTGCTGTGTCTATGATTACAATTTACAATAAACTTGGATTTAAATGACATTTAAGTATTAATTACTATTGTCATAACTGCAAAGTAAGTCATAATTGGGGTAAAGAGCTCTTTGAAAACAAAAAAAATCAAACTCATTCATTACTAGTGTGGAAATTTCTCTTTTTTAATACCTAGTGAAGGGAAGATTACAAAATTAATATTACTTTAGAAATTCTGTATCCAACAATGGCTGAAATTGTTAGACCTACCCCAGTTTATATTACATTACAATCTTCCTCCTTTATTTACATAGCCATGCCACTAGCACTTCTCCTAGTAGCAAGGGTTCATGTGTTCTTCCACACTCTGATATCAGATTATTTACTTGTATGTAAAATTTCATAGCCATAGTAATAAAACTCTCCACTTTCACATGAAATGCAATCTGCAAGCTACATCTGTTCCTGTAGCTGAATTGATTTTATTGGTATCATGGTTCTAAAACCTTCCTCAGATATAGTTCAATGATATATGATAAAAAAACGAAGGAAGGCTAATAGTGCCCCCTTCATCCATCAGTTTCTGATGAGATCTTTGGGAAAATGACCTGTTCATATACTGCTCCCCACTGAATGATCATGAAACAACACTCTCCCTAACAAATGTAAAGTGTAAGTTCATTTTACTTGTAAGACCAAGTTTTCCTATACCTCTAATGGCAGTGTTTCTGGAGGCCAGGTTTGTCCAGAAACACAAATTACAACCTCCTTTGGAAGATGTCTCTTCAGGGAGTTTTTCTGTGCCACTAGACTTTTTTAATGAGCTTTTGTAAAACAGTTGGTCTATTGTGCTGAAAATGGAGATACACTCTCCTGTCTGTTAAAACTATTGCAACAAAAAATACTCTTCTAGTGCATTAAATGTTGAAATGTTTTCAGAACTAGGTTGTACAAATCATCTTTGTAGTGAAACTGGGCTTATACTTCTTTTGTGGCTTCAGCAGCAGAGAGGCATGCCTGGTAGTGAGAATAAGTTCAAGTCAGTTCATACCCTTGACCTGAGTAAATCCATTAAAGGAATTTTACATGTTGAATGAAGCAATGTAATAGAAGGAAACATTTGGCATTTGGTATACTATTACAAACATGTCAAAGTATCTCCAGGCCCATTACATCTGAGACAGCAGAATTAAACTGTGAACATTGAAGGACTTCATATCTGTTAAATTTCACTGGCAGATGCCTTGCTATTGAGGAGAACTTGATTGCAGTAAGTTCCTTTATATGAGAATTGTCAGAAGCAAGTTAGAATTTAGACTATTACTTTTAAGGAAATTTGAAGGTTTATCTGTGATTTGTTCTTACTTAGGAATAAAAGTTAACAAATTAACTGAATAAATAATAAGAATATTCAGATTCCTTTGACTCTCTGTCCCCCTATCAAATACATGTTTATAATATTAAACACTGTTGTTTGCAGGGAGACAAAGAAGCTGCTTTAGGTCTTCAGTTTTCCCCACTCTGTGACCGCAAGTCCACTTTGGTCGCTCAGTCCCAAATAGGTAATGACAAGTTCTGTTTTTCTTTTTCTTGTATGTATAGGAGCATCCAAATTCACATGAAAGTTTCATATACTCTTTTATCTCTTTTTGAATTTTAATTGTTCAAAATTCCATTATATAGAACGTATTTTTTTGCACCTATCTCTTCACCATCTCTTCATATGCTCTCACAGCAGAAATCTCCTGATCTCAAAAGAACGTGATGTAATTTCATTATATGTGATGCCAAGGAGGGATAAGAGAGGGATTAACCAAAGTACTGCACATGAGCCCAGCTTCTACCATACACACTTTAGAGTCTGGTAGATCATGACCTCAGACTGATTATCAGGAACTTGCAGGTCTGTCTCTACTATAACCTGAAAGCCTGGTACCAGTTTATAGATGCATCTCAAATAAAAGCTAATTCATATATCAGATCTCTGGACTACAATTATGCCTGTCAGTGTGTCAGGGTCAAACTACACGGGGTCAAGCCTCTGTGGGTTGACAAGGACCACTGCATTCTGTCACTTAAGATGTCCTTTATTCCATTTCCCTGGGATTTTAAAGGCAGTGTGCTTGAGCATCATACCTACTGCAGGAGAGAAGCTGAATTCTAGACTGAATCACTGTTGCTCACCTTTGTGCTGTGTTGCATGATTAAAGTATGAAGACATCTGGAAATCTGTTGCTAGCTCATGTTTTAACATTTTTTTCTATTAAGTGCTCAGGAGAGAATAATGCTTCATTCTCTCACTGTGTCATTCCATACTGTGATGAGCACTTTAAAATGTAAAAGACATTGTTCAGAGCTGACATCTCAGAACTGTGGGATAAATGCTGTCTCCTAAGGATATTACTTGTTCTCTTCACTGATTTGACAGAACCCTCCTACACACTGTGAAATAACACTTTACCTCCACAGAATAATAAACAGCAATTTGAAATATTAACTCCTTGGCAAGAAGCTCCGAATGGTAAAAGAGACAGCGTGACTTCTAGTGCTCTGGCTCAACAGTAGCTTCCCTTCTATTCAATAATTAATATTCATTTCAAATGGTAGGTGTGTTCTGCAGTGCATAAAATTTACAAGTAAAAGAATGAAAAGCTGTAATTATTAATATCTAGTTGTATCTGTATAGCTTTAGGTGTTTTTTGTTTCAGTTGTGCTTTTTTTTGTTCAAGATTATACTAGTGGTATCTAGTATATTGAATTGGGACTACAGTTAGAAAATCAGCCCCATAGCAAGCATTTATTTTTAGATTTGAGACTTGTGGAAACGTAAAATCTGATTTTCTCTCTTTTTTGTTCTTCAGGTTTCATTGATTTCATTGTAGAACCAACATTTTCTCTTCTTACGGACTCAATGGAGAAAATTGTTATGCCTCTTATAGAGGAAGCGTCAAAATCTGAAAGTCCTGCATTTGGGACCCCCAGGTATGAAGACACTGCTTAATTATTGAACTAACTAACATAAGCTCACATAATAATGTTATTCTCAGAGTTGTCTCAATTATTTTAAATTGGGAAAGTAACATAAATAGCTGTACCGTATTGCCACCCTGTGGTGCTACGATGTATTTGCAATGTGCTATTACTCCATTGAACGACTGTGTGCGTAAAAAGGCAGAACCACAATAGAGATCAGAATAAACACATGTAAAACAAGAAATCGATTTTCTAATTTTTAAATACAACCTTTGCAATAGATTATTGAAATTACTAGGTCTCTTATCTTAAACTATTTTCAGCATCATTTTAATTGACAGCACCAAAAGTCATTCTTGTGTTTGGGAGAGACTATTGGGAGTGGAGGCGATGATGAAGGTGGTTGCAGGTTTTTTCTGTTCTTTATTATGAGGCAGGTCACTTTCCCACTTCACCTCTCCATGTTAGTATTATTTCAGATGTACAGTTGAGACAGAATTGGTGGCACTTATATTCCACTTGAAAGAACTAAATGAGATGGGGACAGGGGTATGTTGCACATCAAGCTCATTATTTTTTATCATGGTAGAAGTTGTATATAAAGCAAACCAGCTATGACAGCGTAATCTGAGTGACTCTGTGCTGAAAGCATTGTTGGATAATCAGATACTACCTTTACAAATACTTGCTCTGTCACCACTTTTTTTTCACTTTAAACTGTAATTTGAGATTTCAGTGAGGCTATTCATATGATGAATCTGCAGGGCAATTTTTCATTTGCTGGGCATTAGTTAGCTTTTAGTAACAAAATGGTGAACCTATCTCTTTATTTTGACTACTAGAAGTAAGCAGAAATTACTAGAAGTAGGTGTCTATGACCATGTGTTTTGGGAAGCAGTGTCAAACAAAGGTATTATTGATAACAAATTTGCTTACATAGTCACTTCTTTACAAATGAGGGATTAGCAGCTGCCAATGATTAGCAGCTCCATGCTTTGCTTTTGGTTCATGTATATGACTGAGTCATAGATGAACAAAGGCTTATCATCCAGCAAAACTTCCTCATGTGAAGTGGAGGATAAAGGGATTTTTTCTTAGTATAGAAACAAGAACCACACTTGTGAAGAGAATGGAGAGTCTATAACATGATACAGAAAAGTTTGAGCCAGGAGAGTTGCACAAACACTACTGAGTGGATGCCATGAGTGTGACATTCACAATGGTGCCTGGGAAACATTAGGATTATAATCTATTCTTTCCATTCTATCCCATTCACCATCTCTGGAGCACATGGAAATTACAGTTAACTCTTCTTGTAAAATTCTCACTGCAACTATTTCCTGCTTAATGTAAAACTATTTGTATACTTATTACTATTTGTCTGTGGGACTAATGAGATAAATTATGCAGCATAGTCGAGTAAACAAAACCTATTACGACATGATCACCTGTACAAGGCTGGAAATAAGTCTGATTTTTTTAATCCCAAGGAAAAAAAGAGCGTTCATTATTTTTTCCTACCTTTACATATATATGCATATACATGTATGAATAATCAATTTGACTTCTACCTTACCTTACTGTAAGTAGTAAACTAGCTGCAGTTGCTGTTTAGTGAATTTTAAAGCCACTGTACTAAGTCCTGCTTTGACTACACTTGAAGGCATGTAGCTTGAAGGGGATTTTCAACTCAAGTGAAACTTACCTGTCATTTAGTTTCATCTCTTCCTTTTTTTAACTGGGTCAAAAAATAACAATCAGATATCTCTCCTATGAGCCCCAAAGATACAATTCACTATTCACACAGCTAAGAAGCTGCTCCAAAGTGGCTGCATAAACATTCTTTCAAGAATCAGCTTACAAGTAACATATTTTCAGCTGCAACATTTTTTTCCAAGAATTTTCTGGAAAAATGTTGGTAAGACATCTTGCATCTTAGGCACTCTCTGGTAAAAACTATTATTTCAAGTTAGTTCCTAAGCAACTTGATTCAGATTATCGGTTTGTATATTATTAAAATTGCCTGACTGTGTTCATAATTTGGGGTTTTTTCCCTTGTGCAGCCAAAATAGTTTGGGAGCAGTAAGCAATGCTGAAGCACAAAGACGACCTGGTTTTAAAAGCACAGGTGATGGAGGGACTCATGCAGAAAATTCTCTAGCAACTGTAGACCTAAGGAGCTTTAAGGACAACTTGATGAAGATCATTCAAGCAAACAAAGAAAGATGGAAAGAATTAGCAGCAGAAGGTATGATACATTAAGGTGAAATCTTTTTATAGGTTACTCCGTAATATCTCACCTACTTTCATTTTTTAATTTCATTTAACCTGTAGAAATACATAGTTGTCTTGTATTCATATATTTTTTGTCCTAATGTTTGTTTAGGTGGTCTTGTTTTGCTCTCCCAGCAGGTATAAAGAGATGTAGGTGGTTAGGGTATAAGAGTAAATCCTATAGCCTGTACAATAAGGCTTTGTGCTGCTCAGCTTATCTTTAGAGATTTGGTTTATAAATGTGCATCCTTGCACATTTAATTTGTAACTGATACTGACATCTGCTTTAAATGCCAAAATCAACAATTCAAAGTACTGTGTGCTGCCACATTTCTTTAGAAACGTGAAAGTTGTACTTTGCTATTAGAAATGCTATTTGTTCCCCGTTGAATGAAACAAAATTCAGTATTGCAGGCTGCTTTGGACTATGCTGTAGGCAATTATTTAAATGACCCAGTGAATCTAAAGATTTGAGCAATCACTGCACATATTAGGCCCAAACAAGGCAAAAAGGGACTCTTCATTTGCCAGTAGACAGTTAATAAAGCCAAACCTGCTTCAAGCATCTTAGTTCATAAGCCATACCTGAAAATTGTCTGGAGTTACGGTTATCTGAGGCAAATGTTTTGTGATAATTGTTGAACTGAACTTATAGCTTTGATCTGGGTTAAGTGAATGCCATTTGGGAATTTGTTGTCCACAGTCTATGTTGTTTCTGAGTAAGTACCTGGAATATTTCAGCATAGCATTTCACTGCTATCACTGGTCTTGCTGTACATGACCTGATACTGACAGCTGGGAATGATATCCTGGAACCAGTGCCAGCCTTGTTTTTCATCCCATCATCCAAATCAACATCTTTTTTTCTCAAAGAGGTGTCAGACAAGACAGAGAAACAGTGCTGAACAGTGATAAAATCTGATTTAGTGCTAAATTGCAAATGAATATTCTCATTAGGAGGATATTAAGAACAAGCTTCCATATATCTTTTGTGACAAAGACCTGAGAGTTAGGTAGAAGAGGCAGCTCAGGAGAAGATTTGACCAATATTACCCCTTCTTCATGAGTAGCTTCATAAAATCAATTGTCTCCTTTAGCCTTGCCCAACTAATACTAACTGGTCAAAAGAAAGCTGCTAATTTGCAGTGATCAGTAATAACAGCAGACCATCAGAGTGTCCAAGGCCACTTAGGTATAGCCTGTAGAAATCAATCAGCCCTGAGCTAGGGACAAGCAAGGTCCTTCAATATGGAAGAATGGAGAACTTGTTATCTGGAAGTTTACCATTTCCAGTTACAGGTAACTAACTGGATTGATTCTGGTACATCAGCTTGTTGGTATATTGTTTTGGAGGTGTACAGTGCTTTCAAAGAGCACTGTTGTTTCTCCTTCATTCCCAGTGCTTTGTAGTCCTCTATAAATTACTGATATATTTAGCCCAATTTTACTGGGCTTGTGACAGCCATTGCAAACACAAAGCTTCTCACAGCAAGAGACTTAGGCATTCTTCTGGGTAAGATTGTTTCTCTATGCAGTCAATATAAATGTGGGGCTGAGCAAAATCCTGAAACTCTGGGCATGCTTTCTTCTGTGAAAAACAAGGATGTTAATGTTTAGACTCCATGGACTTTATTGAGATTGTGGTTGTCCTAAACTTCTTTCCTTCCATCAAATTGACTAATGAAGTATGCCTAAGTATTTCCTGAAAAGAATTATGGAATTATAGTAAAATGTACATTAGGAAAGCTAATGGGTAGATGAAAATAGCTGGTATTGAGGTCAGAGCATGATGAACAGTATTGTCTCTGTGTGATTGTGTCTGAATCTGGTCTTTTAAACCTCTGTGTGAGGAAGAGATTTATAAAAATCTGCTCTCATAAAGATGTTGTTGCAGCAACATCTGCAGTTGACTGAAGCGTAGCATAGAGACCTTCAGGGTGCTTGGTTAGACTCTAAGAGGAACCTTGCAAATAGTGCAAATGCTTTTGGGTACACATTTATATCTTGTTAGTAAACAGATAGTAAGTGCTTTTTTTAATAAAAGTGTGGTGGTGGTGGATTATATAGGTTTTGTGAAAGCTATTCTATTTTCCGTTCATTTGGAATGGAATATGTGAGTCCATAGTCCATATGTGGGCCTAAAGGACTGCTGGCAAGGAGTTTTCCTCTAAGTGAATGCAGCTGTGTATAGAGCACTATCTGAGGTAGCACACAAGTTCCTTGTCACATAATGGGAGAGGGAATCTTCCCTAGCTGGTCCAGTATGTCTGTTCTGAAGCTGCACCCTGCAAAGGCAGATTAAATCCTTAATCAGACTGTGGAAAATGAACATCTAATAAAGAATAAAAAATATGGCAATACATCACCTTGCCACTTGAAATTCTTTTCAGATTACAGTCAAATTTGACTAAGCCTGTAAGTGAATAACCTGAGACCTTGAACTTCAGATAATTAGAACCATCCTGTCTGGATATCATGTTACCTTCTCTGACTCTATTGCCTGATGAAAAGTCTTTAGGTTGCTCTGGACATATGTATGGAGTTTTGTTTTATTCATAGGTTTGTAGGAGCACATACCAAGACAAGAGATGCCAGGGATTAATCACTGCCAGGTGAAAAGAGTATTGTTACTGCTATCGTTGTAGATAATCTATGACAAGTCACAAATTGCTGAGCACACTGAGGAGGTCACATGTGTGAGAACAGCATGTTGTGGTAGTAAGCAGGCTGACTGTTAGTGTAGATCGTCAAATACACTTCCTGAACTGACTGTGACAAACAGAACGTGTGCATTAGAAGAACCATCTGCATTCTTGTCAGTGGACTCGGCAAACACTAGATATTGTTCCCAGATTAGCTCAGAGGCTCAGGAGAAGCTGGCTATGTAAAATGTAGTACTACAGATGCACAAGGAATGTAGGAAGGAAACTAGCAAAAATCTATATAATTTCCTGAGGATGACCTGAACTCATTCCAGCTTCTCACCTTTTTGGGATAAGGTTACTCATGTAGCACTGGTTGGGAGGCGGTTCAACTGGAGCACAGGCTCCCTTAGCAAGGGCTGGAGAAGGTGATCTGACTGCTATGCCCAGACAGTCCGGACCAGAAGACCAGTCCCCACTGACAGTGTTGCTGACAGGGCAGCTGCTGGTGCTACCTGGAGATGCTGGTGCTACCTCTCCCTGAAAAGATAGTTGCTGTTGAGTCTTGATTCAGAGTAAGCAGCTTGTGCAAGGAATAGCGTGCTTTGTTTTTGGGAAGTCTTGTGTTAGTAAGAAAGGCGTTTATCTACCTAGGCAGCTGTTTGAAAGCTTCCTTAACAGAAGGCTCAATAAATAGGTTGACTCCACTTTGCTAAAAAGGCCATGTCTTGTATAATTGATGCAGAGGAGCTCAGTGCTCTATAGCCTAAGGGTCTTCAACCTTTCACCACTGGAGAATTAGAGGAATGTTTCTCAGGCCTTTCAGGGAATGCTGTTAACAGGGAATTACCATAATGATCAAACATTTGGGATTCTAATTTGAAAGCCTTGATGTTTAATTAATATTCCAAGCCCCAATCACCAGATAATCTGTCTTTGTTCAACTCAGCACAGTGATAAAGATACTGTTCCATCCTGCGTTTTTTTCATCACATACTGTTGATGGCTGCTGCTGTTTGCAATTATGGTAGTTGTAGCAAATAGACAGAAAATATGCTCAGATGAGTCTAAGAAGTTCTTTCATTAGAGAAGATGTTTACTAAGTAGATTTTAAGGTCTGAAAGTTATAGACCTACTGAGAAAGCTATAAGAACCACAAAACTCATGGAGAAAGGTTTAACTATCATATAAGATCCTTTATGGTGCAGTTCTTAGAACACAGAGAGATAATAACACAATTATTCAATATTTTTAAAGTACAATGTTTATTCCCTGTGCTTACAATTTTTATTTCTTCATGCTTAGATTGTTCTATAAAAGCGTTCCCAAGGTTGGCTAATAAAGTTGGTATGTGATTGAAAAACTCAGGTACTCTTAACAGAGTGTAAGGGTATGGACTAGTAATCATGCCTACCACCTCTTCAATAGGTATCATTGTAAATAAAGTTACAGGGATTAAATAATTATTTTCACTTTACAGTCAACAGAAAGAGGCACAGGCATCTTAGGCACTCACCTGAGATTATATAATAACACAAGGGAATGCAGCATGCACACCAGGAGTTCAGCTGCCAGTCAAACAGGCCCATCGTTGAAGTGTGCTAACGTTCATCTTCAGGATAGTACAACAGCAGTTACTTGTTCTCATTTTATGCTTACGTAACTCTTCTAAAGGATTAAGTACCACAGGACCTGAACAAAGGTTACACTATTCATAATCAGTGACAAACGTCCTCAACACCCCTTGGCAGTGCACTGGGCTGCATGGCTTGAAAATATGTGCCTGGGATGACTGACCTCATCCAGGTGGGATGAAAAATATGAGGATGAACGAGTCTCTCACACTGTCCTCTGCCTCATTTTGATAGTAAAAATATGAAAAAATGACAACTATTGCATCTTTGGAGTAGAGATCAGCTTTTTCCCCCCTATGGGTAGCAGTTTTGAATAACAAATGTCTCTTCTGAAAGCCCTCTGCACAGAACCTGCAGGCTCCCCTCGGGCACTTTCAGTCCTGCATACTTCCAGTCACAATAACCACGGGGTTCAGTTCCATTTTGTCTGAAAGATTTTCTCTGCAGACTCACTAATAAGAAGAGAGTAGCAGCTGCTGAAATGTGAAAATCCGAGAGTGATAATCTGATAGCATGTTAATGTGATTTAGCAGTCTCTAGGAAGGGTGGGCAGTGGGAGGATGTGTGTGACAGTCACAGAATCTGACTGACAGTTTGGCACATGAAATCTACCCTAATGGACTGTTTTAATCTGTTGGAGAAAAATCAATTCAGGAGGCTAAAGGAGTTCCATCTACTATCAGTGACAGTGATTTTAA